TGGGCTAAGAAGTGAAATATGTTAGAAATAAACAAAGTAAGCAATAAAGAGGTAGCAAAAATATTAATAATAATTAACTGACATAGGAACATCGCAAAGAACTTCTTCCATTCCTGCTTTATAAATAGGAAAACTAGAGAGAACTAAATGATCATGTTATTTAACAACTACTGAGTTCTTAAAGAGGGATCTAGAGAAAAATGTAGGAAGCCACAAGCTAAAAATCTTGACCTTAGCAGTAGGAAATACACTGACAATTCTAATAAGGGCAGAACAAGGGAACACCTGGACAGTTATTTAATTAACGATCTCAGCATGGGTCATAAAAGAGATATCAGGATGAGAAATTACTCCAAGATTTACCTGTAAAGGCTGACTGTCAAAAACGCCAAAGACATTCCATTCTCATCTATATTTGGGCTCTTTAATGTATACTCAAGTACAGAACATAGAATCAGGACAAAAACAAACAAAATATTTGGCTAAAACCTCTTATGAAAATAGCTGGACAAAATGCCAAATGAGGCAGAGATATTTCTTCAGACACCAAATCAGTATTTTAAATGTAGTAACTGCTACCTGGAATACCAAGTACAATTAACAAAACGAAGCAAGGATCTAAGTTGAAATCACTGCTACTCATCAATAAGGTAGAAGATTAGAATAAGCTATGACTTTATGCTACTGATTTTTTTAAAAAAACATGGTATTAACCTCAAGAAAAGCAATAATATAACTCAGAATATGCTGGCCCAACTAGTTTGAATCACAGATCTCAGCAGTTTAGAAAATACCTACAGCAACCAAGAGAAACAACAGTCTGTATTGGGGGTTAAGGTTATCTGGGATTAGTATTCCTGAGAATTAATCACCAGACAACCAGTTCCTTATGCTAGGGCTTTCTAGAAGTCACATACCTATGTCCCTATTTAGGAATGGAGACTACTTCCCTTACCTATCTCAAATAGCTGTTAATTGAATTAATCATCAAGAACGAATGACAGAAATTAGATACTTTACCTCTCCTTCCCAGACCATTATAATTATGATCTATATTTTTTTACACTGCCACAAGAGAAAGGAACTTTCTAAATTGTGTCATAATTATTTAGGAACAAGTTTTTCTTCCTCTCTAGACTGTAAGTTCCTTGAAGACAGACTATCATTTGTTAATCTTTATATTGCCCTCAGCATCTAGGAGGAATGCAGTTAATATTTGTTAAGGAACAAATTAATTATTAACAGCCTTTTCCCAGATTCTTCTCATAATTGGCCCAATCAGTCTTAACAAGTAAATAAAAGCAAGCTTCTCTCCATGGTACTATTACACGGTAAAATACAAAGCAGAAAGTGGTTTGTGGCAATAAAAATGGCATCTTATGCTACCTTGGAAACTATTAAGTTGCCGCTAGGTTGTGTTAGGTAAATGGCCAAAGGAAAAAAAGATAATGCTTACACCACATCAGAGAAGAATGCTTAGACCACCATCTAGTCTATATTTCTTACATTCACTTATACAATTGTGTTCAACATCCTTAAATAACAGCACTGTTGGTGCTGTTTATAAGACAGGGGTGCATTTGCAGCATTTTAAATTCCATTTTCAAGGAGGAAAGTATCTAAGTATAATCAGACGAGAGTAATAAAATACACTGACCTGGATCTGTTGCTGCAGGAGATTAATTTTGTGCTGCTGTTGCAGAAGTTGCTGCTGTTGTCTTGCAATCTATCAGAAATAAAGTTTCATTAAGTTAAAATGAAATGCTTACACCTTTGCCATTACCTCAGGTATCTCTCCTGGTATTATGAGAATGTTTTACTGCACCTCTATATGAAAGAGTTCCTATAAAATGAAAGAGGCAGAATCAGGGAAGTTGGAGAAAAGGAAAAATTTTTAAACAGGTACCATCTCTCCACTTTATTTGTAGGTGAAAACTACCTCTTCTACTACATTTGTGAGCAATTCACTTATATCTGGTCTGGCTAGCTGGAAATATTGAGAAATTGGAAATCCAACCCTTACAGGATAAAGACAGGAAAACTTTGGCTACATTGTTCTAAAGCATTTAATTTGGAAGTAAAAAGTATAATAAAATCTGTAAGCAAAGATAGTGAAAAGCTATTACTGTATAACACGGTCTGCTTGGGTGAAACTTTTTTAATGCAAAAATTTTCAGAACTAATGTACTTACAAATATTATCAAAGGGGTGCCAAAAACAACACCAAAAAGTCAAAAATCTCTAGCTTTTTTGTTGATGTTGTATGTGATGTATAAAGCATTTTTAAAAACAAACAAGGCTATAATTTAACATTTATCTATTTATCTTTTTGAGGGCAATGTGTTTATTTTATAGTACAGTCTCCACATACAGTTTTATATTCCCTTGTTTTACCCACAATCAAATTCAACATCTAACCACATTATCTGGTCTATAAAAGGAAATATTAACCATTTAACATAAGCCCTATTGATGACTGAATCTGCCCCTCAGGAGGTCAAACAACTTCCTTAGGATAATGGTGTTTATTATGAAGCATGAGTCAAGCATCAGACTGCTTATTGCCTCAAAAGCTGAGCTGCTACAGCTTGACGTCCAGGGAGATGCGTCTTATTGAGAACTCACTGCCAACCCTAGGAAGCCAGAAAGAAAAGTGGCCAGAGAACACTTAGAAGGATTTGCTTTACTGGTGCCTTATTGGCAAGAGTTAGTCTTTTCCTCCTATTCCCAAAAAGCCAGTATTCTAGAATGAGCTGTGTTGGAAGTGAAAATGAGTATGGATCAATCCCCAGCTATATACTTCCTGAGCCTTTTCAATGTTCTAGCCTGGTGCAGGGAGAAGTACCCAAATCACATTTCATTCAGTATAAGATGGCAACATAGTAGTCTGTTCTCAAATGTTGATTTATGATTTCTGGTGATGACTGGTACATACTGGAAGGCATGATAAAGCTGCCCCTAATGTAGACTACAGTTTGAGAAATGGACTGCTCCTTCTCAAAGCTTTCTAGACAAAATGGAAACAGTATTTAATCAGGTTGGAATGGCCTACTCTGCTTGTCAACAATCAAATCAGAAATGTACAACTCACTTTGCAGCTCTAGGTATAGATGCTGGATCCCCTGAATATTTATTTCATCTTAGCAAACCAGTGAAACACCACTAGGCATCTAATATTGATGGTCCCTCCTAAATGATAAAGTGCTGCATAGAAATGCATCCAAAACACCACAGTGCAATTACTATCATCCACTCTAGACGTATGAGTTTGACACAGTGAAGTATGGCACATAAGCACCATGTGGCTCAAATTCTGAATTTTATTTGCCAATCGGTTGAGCTACATGCTCGCTTCATTGAGCATGACAACCTAGTTTTAAGTGTCATTTAATTTTCATTTTGAAATATAATTACAAAGTGTTCACTGTAAGATATCACTCGTCTGCAAATGTGTCAAGATTAATTTGTGCTAGCTTATTCACAAGTGTCAATAGTTAATTACTGTGTCATCTCTGGATGGCTAAATGACATTCTAACTTCTGATTTTTTACAGTGTTCCTTTATGTTATTTTCCATTAGGGGCTGAGTCCATATTCCTACATGTGGGCAAATATTCAAGCATATAAAATACCAGACGTCACAACTCATTAAAATCAACAGAGCATATATTGCTCTATATACCCCTATAAAATACATTTAACTGAAAAGATAATTCCAGTAATAATGTCAGATTCCTAAAAACTGCACATTAATTTGGGTCTGTCTGATCTAAAGCATCAGGGACTATTCTACAGGATCATTGTTGTTAGATTAATGTACTCTTATGAGACAAGAAAAACACTTGGGATAGTGATTTATTTTTAAAAGATATAGTTTAAACTTTACTATTTTTTCTTCTTTCTCACTCCTAAGTCAATTTAGTCAAATCCTTTTAGGAGCCATGTACTAATTTGTTTTCAATGATTTACCTAGACTATAAATATTGACCACACAATTTATATTCCAAACCAAGACAACTTTCGCCAGTAGAAGGGAGTAGGAGATGTGGAATGTGCCACAACAGGAAAACAGGCATAATTAGGGTTATCTGGGGAAAACCTAGATGTATGGTCACCCTAGCTTTAAAGCCAGAGAAAATCACTGGACCAGTGAGTTGAAAGATCTCCAGAGGTTTTCTAGAATAGAACTCCCTTTTCTGGATGAGGAAAATAAGGCCCAGAGAGAAGTCACTTACTCATAATTAAGCTACTTCGGGATGACACGGGATGCCTATGTGAATAAGTATCTCTAAGTAATTAATCAAATCCAAACATTCTGAAACAATATATCATTTCAGTTATGGACAGTTGCTATGAGGCTTTTCTTCGTCCTCCACACATCCCCTTAATTGTCCTGAAGACTCAGTCTGCATTTCCACAAAGCCTTTCCCTCCCTCCCTTCCTTCCTTCCTTCCTCTTTCTTTTTCTCTTCTATTTTTATTTTTTAGGAAAGCTTGCAACAAATAAGCCAATCAATGTGATTACTTGCTGAGCTTGGCACATTCCACATCTCCAGTTCGTCAGCTCCTTTCGCAGGGCTCACCTGTTCTTGCTGTTGGCGAGCAAGGTCCATTTGCTGCCGTTGTTTCTCAATTTGTGAGGCTGCCAGTTTTTTCTGTTCATCATGCGCTGCCAGGAGTTGCTCCCGTAAACTGATCAGCTGGGTAATCATGGTGGAGAGCTGCCGTTCTTTTTCTGCCAGGCTCTCAGGTGTACCTGAAAGGGAAGCAAGAAGAGATCTCACAAGCTTGAGGAATATCTGAATGGATCAGAGAAAGAAGGGCAGAATTTAGAAAGGAACCACCCGAAGACACTTAAAGATCTGGGAAAATGACCGAAGGTCATTGTGAGTGCAGGAACACCACAGAGTAGCTACAGCAATGGAATGAATGTCGGCGTTCATCATTGTCCCCGCCAAGAAAATGTATTGTCCCCAGTAAAATTCTCACTCACTTTTCCCTCTCACTCTAAAAAAACAAGCAGATCTACCCCGTTCTCTCCTTTTCACCACACTTCCCCCACCCCAAACCTATCTGATCAAGCTAGGAAACCTGTGATATTTAGTACTAAGGATCAGAAACCATAGATTATATTAATATTCTATAATCACCTCTATCCTCAGTGACTAACAGTATCTAAGACAAAGTAGGTGCTTAATAAACATTATTTAAGAAATTTTCTGATTATTACCTTCACAACATTTTTGTATTGTGCAAAGATCTGTTCCTAAAGTTCAGAAGTCAGGGGTCAATCTCTTGGCCATAGAATGAGTTCTACAGAGAGACTAAAAACTGCCTCAGGTGAGAAAAGATTGAATGTAATTTTTTTTTTCCTGTGAAAGGATCAAGCTCAAATTCCCAAGTTCATCCTTAAAGACAACAATGTTGCTTGGGGGGGCTCCCTCACCCCTTTGTCGTTTGCTATTCTTCAAAGGCAAAAAACACATTTGAGGTTGAAAAGGTCATGCATAAGGATATTCCATTTAATGAATATGATGTCGCTGAACACTTATGGTATGCACTAATGGTGCTGAACAGTCTTTTTATGGGCAAATTGCACAGCTCTCATAAGTAAAGGGTACAGAATCCTTTTGTGAATCTAAATTAGAGCATTTTACCGCAGCATTAGATAAAACTTTCAACCCACTGTATTTGAGCCACACAGATTTCATTAGGAAGAAATGATCTGTGATTTGAAAGCTTTTTAGAAAGATGCCACCAGCTGTCAAAGGGGACAAAGATAGCCAATTTTTGTGTTTATAGAAGGGGAAACTTCCAACCTCCTTATGAAACCCTCCTCATTCCTGCTAAGAAATCACTAGGACAATCTGAGAAACTAAAAATATTTTAATTATGCATGGCCTTATTTTTTTAAGTGGTCCCAAGGAGAAAGAGAACCTTCAGAGGATGTAGGCTAGCACTTGCCAGGGTGTGATTCTCACAAAGTAAGACTGATGTCAGCAGAGAAGCCACCACGTTCAGGACTACCTTGGGATTCTTAAGGTCAACTTGGGTCCATAACAACAACAAAGAAAGAACTGTCAGTATCCCTTAGATCCCTCAGATTCACTGAGCTAAAAGATGGCCTAAAATCAAAATTAAAACAAAAAGAGAGATGTTGGAAAGTATATCCCACTGATAAGGAAACAAATACTGTATCACAGCTAGTGACCAGCTATTCTTTTAAGTTCTTGGAGTTGATTAAAATGAAAAGGGTTTTTATTTCCACAATATGAATTTCAGCTTGGAAAAAGGAAGAACCATCCAGAAATATTACAATACAAAAGGAGGCTCCCAAGAGGGATCATAAAATCTCTTGAAAACCACACAAAGCTCAACTAATGTAAATGTTAACATATACAGGAATGAGAAGATACAAAACAAGAAAAGTATGCAATTTATTTACTTATTTAATGTATTTTTAATCCAGTACATATTGTCTGAATGGAAGCTATGTGCAGGTACTACATCAAGAACTAAGGATACCATGGCAAGTATTAATAAAAAGCAGACATAGTCACTACTCTTTAGCAGTTTGTAGTCCAAAGTTGAAGGTGAAACCTTAATCAAGTAATCACATATATAAATGTACAACTAAATGAGAATTACAAACAAAACAAATATTTGGGGGAAGGTTTAACCAAGTTTGGGGGCCCTAGTTCAGGGAAGGCAGACTGAAAAAGAAACAAGTTAGCAGGAAGATGATTAGGCGATAACAAGGCAAAGAATTGGAGGATAGCTGGATCAGGAAATTTCCAGAAAACATGAAACTTTACAATAGCAAAGGAACTACAACTGAAGGAAGTTGTTAGAGGGTGGTTGGTGGCCAAGGAGCTTTTCAGAGGGAGAAAAAAATATAGGCAAAGGACCTGTGTATGTGTGTGTGTGTTGTGTGTGTGCTAGTGGGGGGAAGCGGGGGGAATAGTTTGGTGTGTTCCAGAAGTTGAAAGAAGTTAGTGAAACTTGAGCAAGGAAAATAAAGGGAGGAGGGTACAGATGAGGCTAGAGAGATAGGAAACGGTCACACCATTCAGCCTCTTACAGACCATATTTGATGACCTTCATATTTACTCTAAGAACAATTCAAAATCACTAAAGTATTTTAAGCAAGAGATGATGTGGTCATTTTGTCTGCAATGTGGAGCATATACTGGAAAGTTATGAGATAAATGGGATATGTGGACATTTAATTCATATATTTTGTGCAGTATTCTAAT